CAACACACCGTTTCAAAATATGTACTACAGGTTTTGTCCACCTGGAGGCCCATAGTGTTGCGAATTCTTCGGAACCCATGGTATCTTGCAAGGTTTGCGCAAATTAACCCCCTCTGTAAACACGTAAAATGCTCCTCAGTCTACTAGGCTGGATTATTTTTATTTCCATCTTTTACAGGTCCTAAGCTCTGTAGGATTTCGTAAGGAGTAAACTTCTAATAATAGCCAGCAAGAACGATACAGTTTCGCATTTTCCCATGGGCTTTCGACTAGCGTGGCTCCAGCAACAAGATGAGATCTCGACTGAACCTAGAAACTTTCCTCAGTGCCATCAGCGTGCCTCTGTCCGATTTTGCCGCCTATCTCTCGGGTGGGTTTCCGGTGGTAAGGCGTTTTCAGACCTGGAGTCAGGATCAAACAGCCAAGAGGTTCGTCAGGTAATTTTTTTTCATTTCATTGTGTATCAGATGACCTGGACCAGTGGTATGAATACGATGTGCGATACCCCAGCAACAGTCACACTGAAGAAATGCGTGTTCAATCCCAAGCGTTGCTACATTGGTACTTTGACGAACAAATCATGCCTTCAGTTAGGACAGCAAGGTCAGGTACCTAAGTATTCAACTTTTAAGTGGAAGTTCAAAACAAACCTCAGGAAGTAAACCAGTTCAAAAATTGGGTTATTCATTCGTCCTATTGACGGAGAGGCTTAGAAATGTGTTATCCTCCATTGTGTTGAGAAATAGTCCTGCGGAGTAGAAATATATTCAAAGCGTCGCATGCTGAATATTCTTTTAGCCATGAATAAGACCGGCACTGTTAAAATATTGGCAAGCTAAATCAGGTGAATGCATGATTTTCCAGAAAAATGGGTAGTTTACCTCAACGATGATTTCTAATAACACCGACACAGTACAAATGCTATTGCCCCATAATTAGCGAATAAGTTTAAAACCAGTTTCACTGTCCAGGTAAGCTTGGATGCATGGATACGTACTGGCTGTGGGGCTGAGTATACACTGTTCGATGGTGGTGTTCTCTCGGCGCCACACGGCAAATGCTGGTTGAATGCAATTCGTGTGGATCATACGACGTCCGATGGTATTATTATAACTTCATGTTCTAACAGTAGGTGAAACACGTAGTTCAGAGTATCACATGTTCCACTTGCTGAAGTTTTCGCTGGCCCACTTGATACAGCTCATTCAGAAGATGATACCAACAACTAAAGCTATAAAAAAAAAACAAATCGGTCTAGCAGGTACATCAAAATGTATTACGAATCTGACTACTAGTAGATTCTCGAGTAGTTCCTAGGACACTCATCCTCCTCAATAAGAACTAGACAGGCATCAAAATATGGGTTTGGATCGATGCGCTAAACCGAGGAAAAAACCGTCAGAGTTCAAATAAGGCAGGTAAACAAATGAGGCCATTGACAGCTCAGTGTTTGTAATGTACACTTTGAACCTGAACATTGAGTAACTGGGTTCTAAGTTTGGTGATCGAGTCTGATGGAAATTCGAGGAAACCGATAATAAACTGCTCGAGTTTCCACCGACCTTATGAGTAGCACGGAAAGGCGGATGTATCTTTATTGCTGATTGTTGTTGACTTTTAATCGTTTTTAGCAAGCTGGTTCACTGATGTCAATGCACGGATTTCGCCGTTGAGACTACCGTCATATTGCGTACCAAGTAGTAGGGGGGTGTTTGGCATTTAAACTTGTCTGATAGGAAGTGCGCAGTGGAGGCTACTAACTTCCAAACGGAAAATTCTGAAACTGCGATTGTTTGCTTGATACTGACATTCGAAAGCATTGGTTGGTTTCTAATGACACGGAGTGCTATTAAAAGTACAGTCAATTTCTGAACAAAACTCAGTCGAATGTTATGCGTCTGATGTAACCCAGTCACTTGCAGAGTTCCTTTGGGGCATATTCGTTCGGACCTCAAGGATTGCTATGCTTATTTGGAAAATAAAACAGTGAAGTCGTGGCCCACACAGAGGCTATTAGTCAGGTTTGGACAGGCTAGCAGAACAATTCACAGTGAATACGATTTGATGAAGTTCATTTTTATTTGGGCGACTCCTCCTGCGGTAATTCAATAGAAGTGTTGGAACTGAAGGAAATCGTCTTCTTGCGATGATTTCTATGTAATGATGATTTGTACATGCACCCTCTGAAGTCAATCGCAGTGGTATGCAGTTAATCTACAGCAGGCCACAATCCTTCGACTGTTAACTCGACTACCGAGTATTTAGCTAGCGTAACATCAAGTAGTTAATTAATAGCTACTCGATGGGGTTCTGGTTCTATATTTTCCAATTCAAAATAATCGTTTTGAAAATATCCTCAGCGGCGTTCATTTGAAGCTGAAACGAATGCACCATTCCGCTTGGATCAAGTTTTCTTGCCAGACTCCACGGAAATACGCTTGCAGTTAGTCGCGCCCACACTAAACAAGAAACTAGATACGTGCCCTGTATGGTCTTTACTGTAGTGTTCCAGGGTTCCAGCATGTGCAGACGGGTTGTGTTCCGGGGTCGTAGAAACGTGCAATCAAGCCGTTGCCAGAACGTCAAGAGCAACCTTATCTAGATGCTAACAGTGGCAATAAGAGACAGATCGCATCCACTTCATCAGTTGCATCACTAAATTCAAGAGTATACTATATGAAGTAATTAAATGTTTCAAAACTGAACAAAACAGGTTGTGTTACCATTATTGTTGGTGGCCTACATTAAAAATAGGTTGGGCTATGTATGTTCAGCTGAGCATTTTGTCCATATATACGTATCAAACACTTGGATATTATGCAACGCGATTAGGTAGGATCTTGTGTGTCACAACAACTAAAAGTGAATTAGTAGATGAGCTGAGCGGACGAGCTATTGGCGCTAACACGCATTGCTCTTAAGTATTGAATCTGCTTGCTGATAACAATAGTTGAAACTGCGTTGTACGATATGGGATTGGATAAAGACCTAACTGTGCAATGAATAGAGCCTGCTTTAATCGTATAGGCTACATCCCCGTACGGTTAGCGTCCCCTGGGGATAGTTAAATTCTCAGTACCACACAGATGTAAGCTGTTCGTTATGGAGCACGAATACACTATACCCGGTTGTACACGGTTCATACTGAGCGACGTCTGTAACCCGTTGACGAAAAGTTTGCGAACTGGGTGTATTTCCACGGCAGAATGTGGAATTGTAGGTGTCGGTCTACAGTTGTAACCAAAGCGTTCGAGGACTTTGGCAGAATCTGAGTTATCAATGTGAAGGGAATCACAACATAACAATGGTTTGGACAACTGAAAACAACTAAAATACACGATCCACAGTGCACCGTCCATACGTGGTGCACACCACATGAGGCGCGTTCGAACGAGAACAAAGTGCAGTGGCTAATTCATATTTTGAATGTGAATATATGACCATGTATTGGTAGCTGCAGGTTCCAGCTAGAAAGAGCTTGTGAGCATGGACACCAGCTTTCTATTTTTGGAATACATGTAATAGTTGAACAGGTTCACTGTATCTACGGAAGGGTAGTGAGTCAAGACAATATACGGCTGTCCACAATGTAACGAGATATGGGTCAGGTATATTAAAGAATTTGGAAGAACACGTTTCACGAGGGACGATTTGGCCAAAAAACGACTCCGATGATGCAAACAAGAAATATGATGGACACACTACAATTACGTATGGACCGGTCCGCAGACACTGTTCCTCTACCCATCCATTTCCTTCAAGTCCTATTTATAGCATTAGGACGCACAACCACAATTGAATCCCCATCGAGAAAAAAACTAGACAATCATCAATCCTTTATGGCCCTGTAACGGTTACTCACTAGATCACGCATCACAAACACTGAAATCACATGAGAATTCTTATCCCACTTGCAAGCTTAGTCGATGGCATCTACACAATTTCCTATTCATTTTTGTTTTCGCGGATACCACCTGAGTAACGCACCAGGCTTACAAACTTCAACCACATCAGGTCAAGTTGTATTCGTGTTCGTTCAATTATCAAACACGAATGGTCACCTCTTTCATCACACTGCACACAATAAATAGGCATGCAACTCGGTCCAAAGGCACACACACAGGACAGGAAGTCCACCGAGTTCCACAAGTCTCCATAGACAAGTACGGAGCAGGTGTAGCAGCTATGCTGCAGAGAAGACAGTCCCCGCGTCTGGAACTTCATTCAGGAACCCTCACAAACGATGAGTCTCCCTTTCGACTTACTCCACTTTTCGCATTGGATTTATTCTATACAAGGTGCATCTCACCATGTCAAACTGCTATGAACCATAGTAAAAAGTGTTATTGGTGCATATACCTTCTGAGTCATGTTATGACTGCACACCAATAGCTCCAAGGAGTTCAAAACCCATCGCTTGCTATCATCCTTCTAGCCCGAGTTAGCTCAGCTGGCAAGGTTCTTGGTTCGAACACAACTCTAGCTTTTTGATCGCTTCTGCCAGGGCGACCTGGAAATATCATAGCTTTTGTGTTCCCTACGAGGCAGGAATGAACCGAAACGGTACAACGGTTGAACAGGTTTTCGACATTCAAACCTCGACCAAGCTAGGTTGATCACTGAATCTAAAAGATAACCCAGAAGGACAAATTCGATAAATAAAAACCACCGAGAATTGCTGGTGGTATCAGGTGCGAAATCTTTGTGATATCAAAAGTAACCGACCAAGAACTAGGCCATAACCAAGGAAGGACACCAGGATTCCTGAATTTTGTTAAAAAGACAGCCAAAATTATCGCAAAGTTTATATTACAATCCGATAAGTAATATAGCGACCAGCAGTTTCGGAAGGACGAGTTATTCGGACAACCTGGCCTCGTCGAAGACCATAGTAACGAGCCACGGGATCACTAGCCTGCATTTTTGGAAGTTGGCTTTCCTTAAGCCGACTAAACAGGTAAGGAGGAGTTAGAAGCGCTCAAAAGGATAACTCACTATCTTTCGAGTAATTCCTTTTTCTCCTCTTGCGTGAGCACGTTGTGTTGTGGAACGAGTTGGTGTTCAGTAATATTCACCATCAGTTCTGTCTCGAAAAAACACTCAAGCGTGTATTTACAGGACAATTCAGCCAAAGCCTGGAGAACGTGTTTACAGAAAAATTAAGGCACTAACTGTTTTAGCGAAAGGAGTCAATCCCTTTTCTTGCAGTACAAGGATCGCTCGATATGTACTGTCCTGTTGCATTTGATTTAAATAGGCACGGATGGTCTTCATATTGACTTTCTCTTCGTCCGGAAAGAATACATACAACATATCAGCTGGGTCCTCTTCATGATTCACAACCATAAGCAGGTCTTTTCTACTGGGAGGATCTCCGACGCTCAGCTTGAAATCATCCAGAGTCTGTTCTAATTCTTTGGGCATGACCAAATAACCACGGTCCTTGCACATCTTTATTAGGAAATCGTCAACAAATAGACACATTTATAAAGGGGAACCACCTTCAAAATCGTCTTCCGGATACGCCAGAGTTTATACGTCTCTGAATCATCGATCATGTTGGGAGGACAAACGGAAGGAACTCAAACGGCACGAGCTGGCAAATTTTGTTCGAAAAGGTACTGAAAAATAAAAATGAAATTTTTTAAATAAGAATCCTATGGGAATTTCGCTCAAAGAGTCAGCGGGATTTGTCCACTTAACTAATTCTCAAACTCACTAGGTTTGCTCACACATGCGTTCAGACCTTTGGCATTTCTTCGACCTTTCGGGTCCACCAAGCTTCTAGGTCTGCGCGGACACTCAGTTTCACCTGGCGCCGGGTTTCCAGTAAAGACACCGTCCTATCAGAGATCCAATGCTTGGATGAGGTTGGCTGGGCTGTACCGCAAGCAGACGCTCCTGCTTTGAGTAGCACTTCGGATATTCTTTTCCCAGTGGCTGTTTATATCCAACACCGTACATCCAGCAGGCATTCGAGGAGCCGGTTTTGATAGTTTCGTTTGGCTTCCGGGTCCACTAGCTTCTCAATGGCTAAGCGAGGTGTGCGTTTTGCGCACACCTGAAAAGCGCAATGAAAAGCAGCAGCGTACAATTGTATGATCGGAGTCCACGCTGGTGTTCCAGGAGGAGCGGCAGGCGGTGATTGACACTCGCCACCGATAACTGCCGCCAACACAGTCTATTCGGATTGGGTGCTAGTTTGGTGGTGGGCACCACGTTGTGAACCGATTTCCGATCTACAGCTGCCACCTTGACGTGGTGCCAGGAGGAGCGGCGGTGATTGACACTCGCCACCGATAACTGCCGCCAACACAGTCTATTCGGATTGGGTGCTAGTTTGGTGGTGGGCACCCACCAGTGAACCGATTTCCGATCTACAGCTGCCACCTTGACGTGGTGGTCGGGCTTGAGTGCTGCAACGATCCCGCGGGCTACAGTGGCTGGAACTTCGTTCCACAAGGTGCAACCATGCCAGGAAGGCCAAAGGGGAGCAGCCAGACCAAGAGCAACGAGACTTCGTTCTACCAGTAATCGTGCTACGAGGCGGTCTGGGGGTAAAGTCGTACTGTCTTCTGCGACAGGAGTGTGAAGGCAGTAAGGTGTTTCCCCCAGGTGACCGGCATGTCCATATTTATGGAAGCCGCGATGCTGCCTTCCCCCGAGGAAGGACGGGTTAGAAAAGGTCAGCCCCAAAAACAGCACACTCCGATCGCCCGACGGTTGACCGTGACCGCCGGCGCATTATCCAATACGGTCGAAATACTTTTAAAACCAAAGAACCCGGTGCTGCTCAAAAGGCACCTGCTGTGCGCAGCCGCATCAGGAATGAGACAGTAATGCCTTATTCCCTGCGCCCTCGGGTTAGGCCAACCCCCTGCAGCCGAGCAGGTCAGACTATTGAGTCATCGGCTCCGGGCAGGGTCCCCAAAGAAAACCCTATATTCTCCCACTGCCTCGTGGGTCAGACTTTTGAGTC